TAATTATTATCTTTTTAATTTAAGTAAGGTTAAATAAATAATAATTTTATACAAGGTATGCTTGTGAGTAGCTCGTACATTATGTAATTGGAAAGTGTAATGTGTGCTGCACGTTTGCCTTGTGATATATAATTTATCTGGCATGAATATTAGTTAGATGTGGTTCAAAATGTAATAAAACAAAATTTAAGAATAAACAGATGTATAATGGTATAAGTTTAAAGCTATTTAGGATAAACACATGTAGTTTTGTGTTATAATTTGAAGTCATTCTAGAAAAAAAAAAGACTTGATATATTCCCATATTCACTGATAAATCCTTAATAAAAATACTTCATTACAAAATCTGATTTTTTTTTGTACAAAACACTAGTAATATTTACTGAAAGTCTGCCAAGCTTTGTGAAGATACACGTACTGTATTAAAAGTTATAATACTGAAACTGTATTGAATACCCCATGGTTACAAACTCTGTCAAATCGACTGAGTCTGTGGCATTAGAGTTAATCTGAAAAGTTAACATTTTCCTATTCTGAAAATGTATTTCCAAAAGATACCTCTACACACAGAATAGCCATATTCCTCACTCATCTGCCTATGAGATTTGTATGCCACTTGCTATGAGGTAACTCCCACCTAAATTCTTGTGTTTAATGTGAACTGTGCTGGTGCATGATGATGTCATCATACAAAAAAAATCCTCCATCAATAAGAGGGCAACACGACCTCCAAGTGAAGTAACTCCCCATATACACATGCACTTGTGATAACTTCATTTTTGACAAAGCCAGACAAAACAAATGTGCAACAGAAGTGGAAATGTATGCAGAAGTAAGTATCTATTGGAAATACATTTTCAGAATAAGAAAATGTTAACTTCCAAGATGGTAACTCACCCCCACACAGAGGAACTAGTAAATGATAAGTGTCTCCCATGCTCTACTCAAAGAAAAAAAAGAGTGGGAGAAGTCCCATTGTGTAGAACCAGAGATTATGCCTGGATCCTCATCGAACTACCACCTAGAAATGTCTTTTTACTGTAAAAAGTCCAATGGGTGACCTAGAAACCCTATTTTTCAAAGCCAACAAGCACGAGCCAAAGAAATGGGCAGAAAACTTCCCTGATACTGGCTTTTTCCTTGATATTGCATGTAATAGGTATAGTCTGGATCCTACAATTGAGTAAATTTTTGTAACATGAAGATATCTCAGGTGGTCTTTTTGTACACCTTATCTTGCAGTGGATATTGATATAGTCAGGACAGATGGTCTGAGCATTTCCTTTATACTGGCTTGATGCAAATTTTGTGAAATAAGCATTCCCTGGGAGGCAGCACCAGTCATCTGGCAGGATCTTAATAAATGTGAAGGGGATGTGAAAAAGAAAATCTACTTATTCTTCTCCAAGACAGTGGGTTGATTGAAGAATGATGACTGGTGGAAGTCAAAATCCAGCAGGAGATGAAACAGCCAGATGGTATAGGCAATGAGAGACAAATATGTGGGAAGTCATCCACATGCCCACTTGGAGGATCTTGTCCAAAGGCTGGCAAAAATGGGAAACAGGTGACAAAACAAATGTAAAGGAATATGAAATAGCCTGTGAGTACTCACATTCAGAGACAAATATACCAACCAGAGGAGTAAACAGATCCATCTAGTAAGTGTAGAAGAAGAGAAGTTCCTGGAAGAAGAGGGGTCCCAGGGTAGAGACAGACAATGGTGGAGACCCCAAAATGAAAATGTCTGTGATAAGCAACACCAAACAGCCCGAACAGTACATAGGAACAAATCCAGGTCTGAAGGACCATAAGGATGAGAGACAGAATGAAGTAAGATAGGAAAGAAAATATGGTTACTTTCCTCAGCAGAAGAAGTGTTAGGAAGGAAAGATCGGTACAGGGAGAGGAGTATATAAGTGCAGTGAAAGAAGGTGTGAAAAGTATCAACAGCATAGACATGATGGAGATCACAGGTGAAAAGGAGGTAATAATTCTGGAGAGAAAGGCAGCACAAAGAGCAAGAAGCCAATGGCTCGACTGAAACATGCATAAGAGTGTGAAAAGCCACAGGAAGTTCCCAGTCAGAGAAGAACAAAGGAGTGGAACAGAATGTAGAGGACAGAGGAAAAAACACCTTTTAGTAGCAGGAAAAGTTGCCTGATAACCATCAATGGTAGAGATCGACAAACCAGGGATCAACAGCCAAGGAAAAGTGATGTATGATGTTGAAGTAATAGAGAAGAGAACTGGGTAGAGGAAAGGGGGATGGTCTGGATGCTACGTGAGGAAGCACAGGACACCAAAGTTGAGCTGGCCAAAGAGGCATCAACAATAGCACCTGACAATGAGTGTCATGTACCAAGGTGAGAAAATGAAGAGGAGAACAGGCATATTGAAAGAGGTGAGAACAGACTTGGCTGAAAGCATCAACAGCTAAATCCAAAGGATGAGGTACAGGGGACCAGAAGAGAGGAATCCTGGAAGTGAGAAGGATGGCAAAGGCACTTATGAGAGGGATGTCTAACCAAGAGCAAATCCAATGAATGATGTGGGGGTGTGGAGACCATTATGTTGATAGAAAGTGGACTGCCCAAGAGAGGCAGTTATTACAAGTTCTTAGTTCTCGGCAAATAACAGGCAACAAGGAAAACCCAATGTGAATGGGCCCAGAAGAGTAGGTCCAAAGCCCAAAAGCAAAGGATCGTGAAATGGGTGCCTCTTGGATAGTTGACATAAGAAATGACTGTGGTATTGTAAGAGTAGATCATGACCAAGTGATCCTCCATTAATGGCAGGAATTGGGACATGCCCAAAGAAAAGCGAGAGGCTTGAGCATGATGATGTGGAGAAAACATTCATCCTCTGTCCAAATGCCAGAAGTTTAATCCACATCCAGAGATGTACCTTAATCAGAGAGAATCATCAGTGAAGAAATGGATCCAGTTTGGGAGTTGGTAAATGAACACTGAAAGTAAGTAGTATGAGCACAGTCAACACGACAATTTCTTGAGGAGAAGGGAGATTTACAAATGAGGACAATGGAACCCAAGAAAGAATCCTTTGGATCAACTAGAGGAGGCATGTGTGTGTGTGCATCCCAAAGGAATGAAGGGTTCTAGGGAAGACAGAATCCTTAAAAGTAATAAAATCTCTTATGCACAGAACTGAACTGTTTGATAGAGAATATGAAACATGTCAACAACAATTTGATACAAAATTTTTTCATTAATTTATACCTTAAAACATTACAGAAAGTTTAAGAAAATTTACCTTGTCAACAGATTATGTTTCAAATATTGTTGAGGTTTGTATCTAAAAAATTTTTCTAGGTAAACACAGAAAATACTAATTGTGTAATATACCATCAACAGTGAGTTTGAGAGTGATGTCTTAGTTTATAAGCAATCTAGTAAAAGTTGAATATGGCTTTAGTCAGTGAACTCTCAAGATTACAAAATAACATTCTAAAGTAAACATATCAGATTCAAATACATCACTAAAATACCAAAGCTTAAACTTACATGTACATCTAAGCACAATGTGATAATGTGTGAAAACAGCACTAACCAGTTTTTTTCACAAAACAACTTCATTATAAAAAGTGTCGAAATCATGCTGTAACACAATTCCATACAGATTAATCAATTAACTTAATGTAAATAATATAAGTATGAATAATATTCTTTTTAATATTTAACTTTATATTCAGTGAGTTTTAAATTATTTTAGAAATAGTACTGCAAGTTTCTCTTTATATCCCGTTCTATTAGGCTTGTAAATACAAATGTAATATTGTACAATGACAGCCTTAGCCACAAACTTTGTAAAATACTTACGACAGCCTTCCTGTGGATGTTCATCGGATGCAGCTGAATCCCCACAATCATTCTCACCATCACATACCCAGGTGTGAGGAATGCACTGTCCAGAATTATTACACCTGAATTCTGTCTTTTCACACTGACGAGTCACTAGAACATGGTATAAAGTTTCAATACACAGGTTTCATTAATATCAAGATAAATTTTTCACCAGAATGTTAATATCTTTGGTTTGATCATAGTTTTTTATTATGATTTGCTTACATTTTTGTGATTAACTTTTTTGTAAATGCATCAAAACTACATGCAGTATAGAGCACAAAAATCACACCGACTTTTATATTCAGGTAAAATAAGGAGAAAACCATGGCAAATTACAAAACAAAACTGAAACCCATCTTGTGATGTCTCCACTAAACTTACACCACTAGATACTTTGGCTAGCACCATATTAAAACAAAATGTAGCTTTTGTTTGCAAGTTCCCTCAGATATCTTTAATGTATTTAAATATTTTTTAATATCACCTGTGAAGTTTGGTAATATTAAAATTAAATATTTTTTTTTGCAACCCCTTTATGACGCAAAGCAACGAGGCTATGTGCGCCAAACAACCAGTAAAAACAGTGAAAGTAAATTAAAATGTAAAAATACAGTGAGTTAAAACCAATATATATCAATAAAAGATTTATATACAATTAAAAAGACCTATAGTGCATAAAAAATTAAAAATGCAATCTAATCGGACAGTGTCACCATTACCAATGACACTGTCCAACGTCAGAGGTAAACTCTTGGAAAATATGTGTTTAAAATAATGCCGCCGCTCACGATCGTAACAACGGAACAACAGTAAAATGTGGGCTATTGTGACTTGAGTGGGTCAATACCTGATAAAAGAAAACGATGGGTTAAAAAACTGTGACCAAAGCGTAGCCTTGCCAGGACTACTTCCTCCTTCCGATCCTTACGGAAGCAAGACGGCCAAAGACCAACAGTAGGCTAGATCTGGAAAAGCTTGTTATGACATTGCTCACCCCAAGTCGACTGCCAACTGGCACAAAGCCATGCCTTAAAGACAGGACCACAGTCCATGTATGGCATGGCATGGCCGTGATGGCATCAGAGCAGATGGACTTAGCTGCAGTATCAGCAAGCTCATTCCCGTGAATACCGACACGGCCAGGGATCCAGAAAAACTGGATGGAAACAGAAGATAGAGAAAAATGGGCCAATCGGTGTTGAATATCGATGAGAACAGGGTGAGAACTAACATTAAGTGATTCCAGGGCCAGTAGAGAGCTAAGAGAATCAGTGTAAATAGTACAATTACTGTACTGCATAGCTTCTACATGATCCAGGGCAAGAGAAATAGCATACAACTCGGCAGTGAACACAGAAACTATAGAGGGGATCCTGCAAGCAACTACCAACCTACAGCACACCATGGCAGAACCTATCGAGTCACCCGATTTTGAACCATCCGTGTAAATAGGAAGAGAAGAATGGCTCAAAAGATGCTCAGCAAAAAGAAGATGGTACTTCCAATTGGGAGTATCTGCCTTCCTCATATGACTCAGAGAAAGGTCACAGGAAGGGATGGTAATAAGCCAAGGTGGAATGGGCTGATCATTGGGGACAGCAATGTCATCCAATGCCAGACCCAATTCAGCCAGTTGCGCCTGGATACGAAGGCCAAAGAAGGAATAGCAGACCGTCTGTTCTGAAAGAGCATGGCACATCCTGGGAGAAAGACACAATCCCAGGTGGGATGCCGTGATAAGGATCGAAGCTTGGCAGCATACTGTAAAGAAAGTTGCAAATGACAGAGGTGAAAAGGAGGTTCGTGGGACTCAGTGTACAAACTCTGGACTGGAGAAGTACGAAAAGCCCCAGTACAGAGCCAAAGCCCCAGATGGTGAATGGGATCAGACATCTTCAAGGCCGAGGTCCTGGCAGAACCATAGACCAAACACCCATAGTCATGTTTTGATTGAATCAGTGCACGATAGATCTTGAGCATAGAACGTCGATCCGCACCCCAAGAGGTGGAAGAGAGGACACGGAGGATGTTCAAAGCCCTTGCACATTTGACACGTAGCTGCTTGATGTGCGGAATAAAGCTAAGTTTGCCACGAGAATTTTGCCTCAGGGATCACACAAATAACTAAATTGCCAAGACGGAACTCAGGATCGGAGGTGGAGACCCCGTTGTCGGCAAAAATGCATGCAAACGGTTTTGGAAAAAGAAAATTTAAAACTGTTTGCAGTGGTCCATATCAACAACCAATTGAGGGCAGTCTGAAGCTGCCGCTCAATAAACCTCATGTTC